TTTTTTCTTTCCATTGTCTGCTTAATAGCATCATCGTACGACATATCATACCACACCTTGCCTTTCCCAACAATGGATTTGTTGTGTGCATCCTTCATTCTCTCTTGCTTGCTAATCTCTGAGTTCTTTGGCTCTCCCCAGTAGTCATACTGGTATAACGGGCTTGTAGGATCGTACTGGTCTTTCCCAAAGAAACTTCCTGGCTTATACCTCCCTGGTTCCTCTAATGGTAAACCAAGTGCTTGACGACTGCAACATAAATCTTAAACATTAACACCCTCTTTGAACAACACCAACATAAATCTCTCTCACTTATCAGCTTTGATTGTTAAACGAATTTTTTACTTACGAGCTGATATCTCTGAGCAATGCTTCTCTTTCCTCCAAAGATCGGCGCCAGTGTAAGAAATCATACTCGTCCATCTCTATATTTCGTCTTAGCTTGTCGATTTTGTATCCTTCTCCCCTTGATTTTGCTTCCATCATTAGTTTATTGTGGTACTGAACAAGACAATAGGAGAAATTTTAACCACTGTCAGTATAAAGATTCATACAAGGATGTGAATCTCACAGTTGCATTTCAAAGAGTTTAAGCAAAAAGACAAGGATAACCAGAGTTACCAAGCAGAAAAAATTTAAGTTGGTAACAGAGTTAAAAATGTGGATAACTGGAGATAAAAATTATAAAAAGTAGTTAAGGGGAAATTCAACCTTGCGCTCCGTCAAGGCAGCCTCTAAGTCAAGTTCTTTGACACTGGTTTTCTGGTAAAAAACAAGAAAACATATAATTAGATAACTGAGACGATATGGTTTTAGCAACACAGCAGTAGAGAAAACTCTCACCAGAATCACTTTTGGCAATTTGGTTTTCTTATAATAACCTTCGCTATGCTCAATATCCTTTTGTTCATCAAAGCCTTCATCATCAGATAATTCTGATAGTTTTTTGCCTTTGTATTTTTCAGGGTTAGCTTCATAATCATCCAAAATCATTTGCTCAGCTACATGTAACTGCCACAACTGCAAACGGGAAAGGAATGTGCTGAACGTGTCACAGAAATTACAAAGCTCATAACCAATACTTAAGTTCGAGGGAAATTACCTTGTCAACATAAGGGTGATCAGAGAGCAGCCCTTCCTCCTCTGGCTTTGATCCTGGATCTTTTCTAGGCTCAGGAGGTCTTCCACAATCTCGCTGCATAAACAATGTATTAAGACTCCAAGAGATCACTAACATTTACATAAAGGATTCTACTAACCCGTATCTCATCTGGATTAGTATCCCCATCGCGATGGAATATTGGTGGAAAGTCAAATTTATTAAAGCTGAAGCAAAATTTGGAAAAAAACAGTCAGCCAACAACACATATACATGAACCAAATGTTTGAGGACAGAACGAACACCAATTTTTTAGTGGATATGGAAAGAGAAATAAAGACGTGTGGATTGCATACATCATGTGATCTATATTAGGATGGACGAAGCGCAACTCTAAGGGAAACCGAAACCGGAATGGATCTCTTTTTGCCTGGAAACAAAAAGATACATGAGCATGAAAATTTCCACTCAGCTTTTATCAATGTGAAAGAAAAATTTGTCTCAAGAATACCGTGATCTCGACGATAACGTGCATCCCAACTTTAATGAAATGCCGGATCCAAAACCAGTCATTACCTTTTATAGGAACCCATCTGCAAACCAATAGACACATAAAATGAAAAACTTTCATTTAGAGCATATGAAACTTTTTTCATTGACAAGAGACAACATTAGACCAGATTATATACCCCTCAGTAAAACAGTCACGATAAGTTTTAACTATATTTATAAAGTAACAGCACATAGACATACCCTTCATGAACACCTCCAATGTCAATAAACGCTCCCTGATACAGATGTAAAGTAGTAACTGTCCCTTCACAAATCTGCATGGACATTATGATATTAGTCATATAACTAATCAGCTGATTGACCATTAGTTACAATAAACAAGGCCAAGGAGTAGAATTCTTACCATCCCTGGATAGTAGAAGGGAAGCTCATACTGCACAGAAAGATAAATCAAATTAACTTCAAGAATTAATCAGCTAGCAAACTAGACAAAACATCAAACTAGGAGTAGGATTCTTACCATCCCTTCTTCGTAATCCTTCCCTCTTTTCCTTCTACCTGGATAGTAATCTTGATCGTACTGGACAAATAAAAACGTTCACTTTGATTAAAATCCATCTTTAAGCCATTAAGGTAACAATTTCTCATCGTTGAAACCATTAGTTTCCTCTGAAATGTGTGGCATACAGATCAAAATTAACGGTATCCAAGCTAAAATTGCAGGATTCCCATTACCATTAGTCAGAGAGTTAGCAACACCTAATAACAATGATTGTAATCTAAAAGTTTTTTTTTTTAAAAAACGGACCTTATAAGATTCTTCCTCCAACCTATCTTTATTGGCTTCAACCCATTCATTGTACTGTTTCAAGAAAACCTTGAACCTATCCAAACAAATCTTATCAACAGCAGCATCTTCTCCTTCCCTCAAGTCCTTGTCCAAATCCTCTATCCAAACCCTTTCAGCCATTAACTTATGAGCTTCCCTAATGAACTCCAGCTCCTTCCGATCAACTTCCCAACCTCTCGGCGGCCAATCCCGCGGCGGAATTTGCCTCAACACCACAGGACCAGCCCACGCGGTGTCCAGAGGCGGCGGTTTATCCCCTCTGATCTCGAACTGCTTTGCGTACCATTCATCCTCCGTCATCCCCATTTCCTTAATCTTCTTCTTCCGGTACGATGGTCTCAGCATCCTGAACGCCTCGATCGCCTCCGGTGACTGAAGCGGAACCTCCTCGCCTTCGTTAAGCGATTTGCGCGCGAAATCGGCTTCAGGTGTGAGAATCTCCTCCCAGGGAGCCCATCCACGCTCGATCCAGTTACGTCGACGTGCTTCATCCTCTGTATCTTTGTCCTTTGGACCGAATTTCTCGAGGAAGGTCTCGTCGACGGGGAACTCATCGGAGCTGAAGCCGCGACAAGGCTGCAAGGCAAGGCGACGAGGTGAAGGCCATTGAAATCCGGCGGAGAGAGATTTGGGTTGGCAGAAATTAGGGTTGGTAGAAGAATTAGGGAAGGTGAAAGTAAGCTTGGTTTGGCAAATCTGCATGATTCGCCCTTCTTCAGGGTTTTTTGGGGGTTTTAGAGAGTGAAGAGAAGTGTGGATAAGCTAAAGCCATTTTCATTTGAAGTGAAGAAGGAAGATTTAGTTATTATGGATGAACCCTATATTTAAGAGAAACAATAATTTTGACCCCAAGAACTTTCGATTGATCAAGTAGACCCAAATTTATGAAGCGAAGAAAGAAGGAGACGGCGAGCCCAGAAAAATGGGAGTGAGTGTGGTCTCACTGTGTCATTCCGCGGCATCGGTCGTCACTTCAATGGTTCGCTCTCTCTTTAAACTTCAACTGTTCAAGCTAGTACGGGTTTTGTGTTTTCCAAATCTGCTTAATTCGAATTAGCTGTGCTATTACTCAAGCTTTGGTTCTATTGTTCTCATCATTTGTCGTTGCGATTTTTTGAGCTTATGGTGATTTGTTATTGTTTCAGGAACAAGTTGAGGAAACTTACATTATTCCTTGTGATCTTAGCATTATCAGTATTCAGTAGTTTGATTATAGATCTTCAAACTTGTTTTATCGAAGAAGAACAATTAGGGGGTTTTGTTGATATGGGAATGGTACTAAACGCATTTTGTGTAAAGATTCTTTGCTTCTCAAGGCGACGCGACTAACTTATGACAAGCGAATAGGATATGAAGCATGATTGTGACTTATCTTACCTAGCTTTGGTGGATTTTTCACTGAATTATTTGAGTAATCCTAACAAGAAAATAGCAAGTGTTTTGGATTTGTTTGACACAATAAGTCTGTGCTTTGGATTTCTAGGAACATTACAAGGATCTTGGTGATTGAGTACATCACTTCTGGCCCGGTTGTGTATGGTTCGGCTACAAGTCGATTCCTTTTTATATGTCCCCGTTTTCAAGGCTAAATAATTGCTTCTGATGTTTATCTTGCAAAGGCTTGGGAAGGTGTTAGTGTTGTTGCTTCTGCGAGGAAGCTGATAGGATCTTGCTGTTCAAACTGGAAGGTTGGATTCTGCCACTCCTAAAATCTGTAGGATAGAAGCATTCTTTAGATCCTCATAAATGATCAAACATTATATATATGCTCTTTGCAGGAACATTATCCATGGTAGCGACAGTCTTGAAAACGGCAAGCGTGAGATTGGTGAGTTTTCTTGTTTCTTCAATCACTTTCTGAATTTGTCATCATTTTTACTGTTTGAAGACTTGATTTAGAATGTAAATTGAATTACCTCAATTCTTTTACCAATGAGAATTCATGTGTGTGATTGTCATCAATCGATTCAGATCATACTTGATTAGCCAAACTATTTGGTTCAAATTTAAGAGTTTATTGGGTTCTAATTTATACTTCTGTTGAGATTTTCTCTCTTGGTCATCATCGTCTTAGCCTTGACCAATGCAGCATATATCAATTTCAATTTCACCTGCTGACATTTTCCGTACATTTGGTTATGGCACAGCTCTATGGTTCAAAGAAGGAGAACTGTGCGAGTGAGATTCAGCTTTGGCTTCATGGCTAAGAGAGCAAGTTTTTTGGAGAAATGGTTAAAAATTTCTTCACTTGAGGGATTCTTTTTGTTCCTGATTTTAGCGGCAATGTAACTGTGGATTATGAACATTCACCTTCCTGTCTCTTGATCAACACTCGTGTAATGAACACAAACAGATTTCATTCATTTCCTTTATGAAGACGGTGAGGAAAAAGAACGTATCAAAAATTTGGCAAAACAAAAATTTCACTTGCACTAAAAAAAAATCACAGTTTCTGTAGACATCTTACAAACAGAATTGTCTAGCTAAATTGTACATAACCAACAGATACAAAACACAATCTTTAATGATCTTAACCAATCATGGTTCAGTCTCTGCCAAGTTGTGTGCCTTCTTGTACTTACAAAACATGGAAAACACTGATGGGTTCTTGTTCTTTAGCTGTTGGCATTGGCCAGAACCCGAGTCTATAGCCATTTCGTCAGAGCCATTGCACAGGGTCACATCAGAACAGACATGAGAAGTTTGAACAGAGTTTGATGATGATGACAGATTCGCACCCTCTGTTTCTGATGAAGTGTCCAGTTTTGAGCCTTGCTTCAGCTTGAGCAGTGTTGATTCTATCAAAAGAAACCATTATTGTAAGGTCAAGATTACAATTCCTAATTTAGCTGTAGAATTTCTTCAAAGACTTCTTGGGATTCCATTCCCAGGATCTTGAAATCGAGGTGGTGAAACAAAACAAGAAATCGGAAAAGAGTGTGAAAGTACCGTACCGTAGACGGAGAGAGGATCGTCTTTGATGATCTTCGCCGGATATCTCTCCAGACTGTCCGGCGGTGATGGCGGCGGTCTTAGCCTCCCGAACATGCCGCCGATCAACTCTCAATTCGATTCGCTGCTGATTGATCGATCGTTTTCTCTGAATTGAAAATCTAAAAGAGGACACGAAAATAAATTAAATTTCAATTGATTTTTCGTTTTGGCGCCTCGATCGACAAGAAAGAGCGGGAAAACCACCTTTTTCTCAAAGCCCAAATCTAAATCTCGGCCCAAATTAATGCTGGGCTCATCGTCTTCATTTATTATTGTTTAGTGATTAATTACGTTTTCATTAGCCTCTTTAAACAATGTGGTATCATGGAATGTGTTATGTTTGTGTGGTGGTTGCTGGAAAAAACAAACTAAACACTGTGAATGCAAACAGTTTAAGATAAAAAAAAATAAACCATAGATTTATTGTTTATTCAAAAAGATTCAACCAATAGAAAAATATTATTAGCAGTTGACTGTTATTCATAAGTACTATTAATTACTATTATAAAATGAAGTATCCTCAAAAAGCACCCAACCAGAAGTATCTTTTAAGTATTTTTGTTAATTTCCCTTCTATATTTGCCAAAAAGCACCCAACCAGAATTATTTTGTTAGAAAAATATTAAGACGAAACATAAAAAAGGGTTTAATAAATATCTCCTACAGATACCAAAGCGACGTCAAGTCATCTTCACCGTTGAATCATTGACTATAACGAAGCAAAATCAACGGCCAAAAGAAGCCTTTTTGGCTCTTTTTTTATTTTGTTTTTTTTGGGTGAGCCTTTTCGTTTCCTGACTGAATCCCTCAAGTAGTGTATATTTACGCGAAACGAAAAGAAAACAAAAAAAAAAAGAGAGGAATTTAGTGAGAGAGGTCCCTGTTTTTGATTTCAATGTCGAGAAGAAGAAGTAATCGTGTTAAAAATACTAAATCCGTCACTGTTCCTGCACCTGTTACTATCATTCATGGTGATTCCTTCTCTCACCCTC